CCAACTTCTTTGAGTCTGTGCTCTAGTGCAGTGGATTTAAGTACCTTCATCATCTTTCAATAACAGTGTTCTGAATTACTACAAACTTAACTACCTAAACCAACATAAACCTCAATGATTCTCTGCCTGGTCTAAAGCAAACTAGTACAATGTAGTAATACTGCATGTGGGTTGTCTTTACAGGTGATGTAAAATTCCTCCATGCAGACTGAAGAGAGAACAGTAAGGTAACAATTAATGTTCTAAAACTTCACAGATTATGGGAGGGTAGGAAATACTAGTTGTTTGTTGCTGCTGCTGTCCCCATAAAGCCTCCAGCTCACAGTACCACAGAACACAGTGGTTGCCCTCTTTATGACCATGTTTTGGCATTTCCACTTGCACTGATACATGGCAAAAGCGCTGCTGTGCAAACACCTCTATTGATTTAATTCTGAAAATATAACACACTGCTAAATACAAAAAAAAATTAATGTGAGCATTGCAACTATGGATTTTTTATTACTCTGAATTCTAAGTAGTGCACATTAAGACTGTACATCATAAAACTCTTAATCATGTAGGTATACTCCTCAGTTTATGTTATCTGATAATACACTACCACTCTTCTAAATCATTACCAATGTAATCTTTAAAACAGTAGCTCTTTGTCCACTGTAGGTGGCAAAAAGAGAAAGTATTATCTTCATCAGATATCACAGCTTTCATTTTTTCTTATGGTACTGTTTATTGGTGACTAAGGTCTGCTTACTTTCAGTTCTAAGCAAGAACTCTATTACTTAGCTTTTAAGAAAAACTCCTTCTCAAAAGCCTGTAAAATAAGATTGAAATCACTGATACACTTTTTTGAAAAGTATTCAGGAAACAGTACTACTGAATATTATAAGCTCAGATGTTGAGGTACTAAACCACAAAAAATGTTTTCTTCAACTAGTCACAATGAAGTATTTTTTCCAGTGTTGTTTTAAAACTTGATATTCCAGATTGACATTAATTATCACTGCTACTAATTTCCTACAGTATATAATGAAGTAAGGCTTAAGGAAAATTATTGCACTCTCTAATAGAAATGACTGATATTTTCTGTGAATACTGAAAATAGTCTGTACATTAAGTTTATACTGTCATCAGATCTCTTTTCTTTTTCACCAGCAGCAGATAAATCCACTGTTGCATTTCATTTTATTTTTAGATGAAAACTGATAGTTGGTAAAGGTACAAACACATGTGCACATTGGAAAGTATATTTTGTGTCTCTCCAAGTGGCAAGAACCATTATTGTATGCTCATTATGCCACATCTGTGGTTCAGACAGGCAGTACATACAATGGATATAGTAACACTTCTGCGTAAGCAACAGCTAGTACTTGTATAAATCCAAAAGGAAATACAATTATTTAACAACATTTGGAAGATTCACCTTCAAATTCACTGTATTTGATAAGCTCTGTAACTACAAACCACTTCAGCTTTACTGGTACATAAAGGTGAAGAATAAGTATGTTTATTTTTAAACTTCAGTTCCTGTTGAAATTGTCAATGACTTTTAAAGGAAGTATTCTGAAGCACCAGAACAATTATTTCAGATACAGAACTTCCAAGTGGAACACATGACTGAAGGAAAGTACCATACCATAAATACTCTGAAATGACTTTGAGCCAGTCTGCCTGTTTTATCACCACAAATTTCATTTGCCAAGATGCAGTTACTGTATTCACAAAACTGTGCTTATGTTCAGAATCACTAATTCTAATTCACATTTAATTTCAGGAAATATGAGTTCAAAAGGAGCCTAATCTTTTAACTTCTTTTTTATTGTTTGGCTACACTAGAAAAAAGTGTCAGGTACTCAGAATATCTGCTGCCTTAGCTGTCACTTTGCAGCGAGCTGCAGAAACCGGTTTTCAGAAAACTGCACAAACATTTTAAATCTATTTTTAATTGTTAGCATACTCCCTATAGCTACTCAGTTCAAATTTCAGCCTTAGGTACATGGAAAGAAATGTGACTATTTGGAAGACATTCCACAGTCCTTCTATTCCTTCTGCCACACCGATTTCTTTTACCACTTTTGGTGCTTTTGGACTTAACTATCACAGCAGCATCATGATGCTAAGTACATGACAGCAAAAACCATCAGAATTAAATTCTCAGCTTAACACCACTTCCTCCTTTCCCTTACTCCCACATTCCAGAAGCTGTGTCAATGCTTTTCCTGAGATTCTTTGTTCCAGCTGTGGCTAGAGGATCCCTGCCACCCATTCTTCCAGCAAAGGGCTACAGCAGAAAGCTGTGCTGAGTGCAGGCTCATGGAGATGGGGGTGTCTTGGCAGAGCCCATGCAAGTGAGCTCATGAAGATGGAGACAGTCCTGCATCACAGGATGAGGCTGGAAAAGGACCTGGCCTCAACGTCCAATAAACTTTGAAGTGGTACAGACAGAAGTCCTTTTCTTCCCCACAAGAAACATGTAGAAGAGATGGTAGGAAGGTCAAGAAAAGTGGTTGTTTTATTTTTTTTTTAGTTCTGAATGTTGCTTCTCTTTTTTTTTCCACATCTACACATTATACACTTCCCTTATTTCTTCTGTGCCTTCCCACCTCTTTCCTGTCCGAACAACTTCTCCTTTCAGCTTTCTCTTAAATCCCATATTATCCTATTTCTGTCACACTTTCATTTTTCCTTTCAGAGAACCACAGAATTATAGAATCATTTAGACTGGAAAAGACTTTGAGATCATCGAGTCCAACTGCTAACGGAGCACTATGAAGTCCACCGCTATACTGTGTCCCTAGACGCAATGTTTTTAAACACCTTTTTAAACATCTTTTAAATACCTTCAGGGATGGTGACTCCATCAATGCCCCTGGCAGTCTGTCCCAGTGTTTAACAACCCTTCTGCAGAAGACATTCTTACTAATATCCAATCTAACCCTCCTCTAGTGTAATTTGGGAGCTCATTCTAGTTCTTGTTACTTGGCAGAAGAGACTGATGCCCACCTGGGCACTCACTGGCTCAGGTTCAGCTGCTGTCCACCAATACCCCCAGGTCCTTTTCCACCAGGCAGTTTTTCCAGATGCTCTCCCCCCAGCCTGTAGCATTGCAGGGGTTACTGTGACCTAAGTAGAGGTCATTTGGCTTTCTTTAGCCTTGTACCACTGGCCTCACTCCATGGATCCAGTCCAGATCCCTCTGCAGAACCTTCTGACTTTCCAGTAGATCAACACTTCTGCTCAAACCGTCTATGCAGACTGAGGGTGTTCTTGGTCTCCTCAGTCAGATCATGAATAAAAGTATTAAATGTGCCTGACCCCAACACTGAGCCCTGAGGAACACCACCATTGACCAGCTGGATGGAGCTCCTTTCACCAACTCTCTCTAGGCCTGGCCACCTCAACACATTTTTTACACAATGAAGGATACACCTGTCCAAGCCATGAGCAGCAGTTTCTCCAGAATGTTGCGAGAAATGGTGTCAAAGGCTTTATTGATGTCCAGTAGAGGATGTGTAGACACATCCACAGCCTTTCCTTCATCCACTAAGTGGATCACCCTGTCACAGAGGAACAGGTCAGTCAATCAGGACCTGCCTTTAACAAACCCATGCTAGCTAGGCCCGATTACCTGCACATGCTGTATGAGTCTGTGAGGATCCTCAATACGTTTCATATCCAAACTAAACCTTCCCTGTCACAACTCTGAGGCCACTTCCTTTTGTCCCATCACTTGTTACTTGTGAGACTGGCCCTTACCTCACTCCAACCTCCTTTTAGGTAGCTCTGAAGAGCAATAAGGTCCTCCCTGTTCCTCCTGTTCTCCAGACTAGGCACCCCCAGCTCACTTTATCTGCTTCTCATCAGACTTGTCCTTCAGATGCTTCACCAGCTTCGCTGCCTTTCCCTGGACAGGCCCCAGTACCTCAATGTTTGCTTTAAAATGAAGGCCCCAAACCCAAGCCCGGCACATGAGACACGGCCTCACTGCTGCCAAGTACAGAGGCACAATCACTGTCCTCATCCTGCTGGCCACACTATTGCTGATACAGGCCTGGAAGCCACTGCCATTCAGGTCAGCTGATGTTCAGACATCTGCGCTCCCTCTGACGCAGTGCTTTCAAGTCTCTTATGCTTATTTTCCAGCACAATTCCTGTATTTTTTAGAGATTCCTTTTTCTGCCTTGTCCCCCAAAACCCCCCTATCCCACTGCCTGACAACCATCACTTTCGGGGACCGGCTGGGAGAGCAGTTTCCACCCAGCAGTGGCTGCCTGGGACGGTGAGGGA